CTGCGGCTGCCTGCACCGCCGGGAAATCGCTAACCCCAGAAAACTGTTCCCCTAATTACAGCGTTGGAGCACAGAGCAAACCACATAAATGATTCACACAGTGTTCCCAAGCTGCAGCCGCGCCAATTAGAGAGATTTCCAAACACTCCCGAGCCGTGCACGCTGTTATCAGGATGGAAATGCAGAAACTTTCATCCTAAGGAGGAGAGGAGGGAGGGGAAAAAAAAGCGCCCCGCCGTTAACTACATCTCTTCAAATCGAGAAGATCTGGGAGGTCTATTCCCTATAGAACTTTACAGAACTGTTTTAAAAACTCCTCGGGGAGTTCTCATAGGAGGGAGCAGCAGATAGCAGGGGAACTATAGAAATGCATCAGCTTGTCATTTCGGAGGGACGCAGGGACTGAGCCTCCGCTGCCGAGCAGAGGATGAAAAGGAGAAGGCAAGCGGACTCGGGGCCAAGAGAAAGGGATGGCTGGTGGTGGGGAGGAGAGTTAAAAGTGTCCCATTGTTAGGGAAGTTTGCTCTCCTTCAGACCATCCCTTTCCCGGGGACACTGCCGCCGCCTTTTGAAGTGCAACCTTAGGCGGTGCCTTGTCACCCATTGGAGCGGGAGCTTTTTTTTTTTTACCACATTAAGTCATTGGGTAGCAAATGAATGGGGGGTTTTGACTATTCACAACTTCACCTTATAAATATCAGGGTTGGAGGTTCCTGCAGCTTTGCTCCATCCCCACAGCTCACCTTGGGAAGGAGCAGAGGGAGGCGGCCCTGCAGGGACCTGCGGAGCAGCGAGAGGGATCCAACCCCACTCCTTGGGACAGCCATGAAGAGAAGCACCCTCCTCATCCTCTCCCTCGCAGGGGTCTACGGCGCCGTTCTCCACGCAGCAGCATGGTAGGGTCCAGCTCATTGGAAAGGGCATTTTTAGGGATGCTCTTTAGCCTGCGGTGAACTGTGTGATTCATTTTCTTTTCTTTGTTTCAGGTCTGTGAATAACTTTCTGATGACGGGACCTAAGGTAATTAACACACAGACTGTGTTAATTTAAGTAGAGCAATTTTGGTTTGCAAATGGGAAATAGGACTTTTCCAAGGAACCCCATTTCCTGGAGCGTATCGGCTCCAAGTCCTACTGAGTAATGAAGGAAAGGACTCACCACCCATTTATACCTGTTTTCACTGATAAATGATAAAACACGATGGATTTTAACCCCGCTGTTTCCCATGCCAGGCTTACCTGACGTACTCTAGCAGCGTGGCAGCCGGGGCGCACAGCGGGATGGAGGAGTGCAAGTTCCAGTTTGGGTGGGAGCGCTGGAACTGCCCCGAGAGCGCCCTGCAGCTCTCCACCCACAACCGGCTCCGCAGCGGTGAGTGCACCCGTACCTGCCGGCACCAGCATCCCCGTCCCGGGATGCCTCTGGGAAGGAGCCGGGATGCGCTCTGGGGAGAGCTGGGGCTGGTAATTAAACCGACGGACGGAGAAGGGCTTTGGCGTGCCAAAAATCACAGTTGTTTTTCCTCTCTCTGTATTCACTGGTATAATAAATAGCGCTAAGGTTTTTTCTCAGAATCCCAGGCTCTCTCTGGGTCTCTATCCGTGCGAGGCTGGAGCTTGGTCCTTCCCGCAGCGCTGCTCCCTGGCCTTGCTCCTGTCACTTTGTGTGCAGCATCCCCGGGAGCGCAGGGCTGGAGGCACCCCAGCTTGCCATGGGGAGAAGTGTGGGAGAGATGAAGGGAGAAACTGGAGAAAAGCACTAAGAAGCTGTCTTCATAAGCAAGCCCTGGATATCTTTCAACACCATCTACTACACCAAGCAGAAATCTCATTTTTTTTTTTCCCCAGAGCAGCATCTCTATCTGAATCTGTTAGGAAAGCCAAAAAAGAAACTAAATGAGGAGTGTGGGTGCGGACAGCTGTTAGCACAGGTTCAACCACCGACTGCAACAGATCAATCAGGAGCATCTCTATCTGAATCTGTTAGGAAAGCCAAAAAAGAAATTAAATGAGGAGTGTGGGTGCGGACAGCTGTTAGCACAGGTTCAACCCCACCGACTGCAACAGGTCAATCAGGGTTTTCCCCAGCAGGCAAGATCAAAGCACGAACATACCCCCCGAGCAGGGAAGGACCAGAGGAACTGAGTGCCTGGCGAAGTGAGCGATAACTGACCTTGGCCAGGGCAGGATGGGGCATCGCCTGAAGATCCTGCTGCTGCCAAGAAACTCCATCCCATACATGGACACCTGCACAGTATTACACCAAATTGCTGCAACCTGTGATGCTGAACCCTGAAGAGACTCCAGTCACCAGCATTTAATGTCTGTAGCACCTTACCTTTTGTACAGACTGGGACTATTTTTTTTTTTTCCTTCTTGCACCTTTGCAGCACAGGAAAGCTTCATTCCCAACAAACCGAGACTGATGTCTGTGTTTGCATCTGACAGGTTGGTTTTTTTTTTTCTCCTCTCCCCCAGCTACCCGGGAAACATCCTTTGTGCATGCCATCAGCTCAGCCGGCGTCATGTACACCCTCACCAGGAACTGCAGCATGGGGGACTTCGAGAGCTGCGGCTGCGACGACTCCAGGAACGGTCGCGTCGGTGAGCTGCTGCCCCAAGACAACATCCCTCCATCCCCACGCACAGCCCCCAAGATGCCAGGGCAGAACTTGGCCCCACGGGGTGGCTCCGCTCTTAGTGTGCGTCTGTCTTGCAGGTGGCCGAGGCTGGGTCTGGGGAGGCTGCAGTGACAACGTGGAGTTTGGGGAGAGGATTTCCAAGCTCTTTGTGGATGCTTTGGAAACGGGACACGATACTCGTGCGCTGATTAACCTGCACAACAATGAAGCCGGGAGAATTGTAAGTCAAATAAATTAATAATAATAATAATAATGTTGTCTATATTGAAAATAAATCCAAGAGCCTGGTAGGCTGTTCAGGTCCCCCTCTCCAGCCCTCTGAGACAATCTGTAGCATTTGCATGGGGAAAAAAGTACAGCCAGAACCTGACCCTAAACCTGACCTGAGCCATTCCCACTTCCAGCTTCTGCAGCAGTGTGCGATGCAGCTGACTGATAGTACGCACCATTTAATCAGAAATACGCAGGGTTTGTACTCACCTAGCGCTTGTCTGGTCTGTAAAACCCAGCAAGACCCAGCTGACTTGCTCGCAATCTGCATTTCCAAGCTATGTGGCTGGGGCAGCCAGGTGTGAGCTGGCCCCGTTCTGAGCCAGACTCGCCCCCCGCTCCCCTCCTGGGCTGGCGGAGGCTCTCAGCATCTCACCAAACCTCCTTGTCTGTAAAAACAAGGACGGCAACACTTAACATAGCTATCTCATAGGGTGTGTCGAGGCTTAATCTCACCTAGATACCAGCGATTGGGACCCTATAAATACCAGAGGGAGATCGGTAGATAATATCTGTGAAGTGCTTGGCCCGGAGGAGATGCGCAGAGGCTGGGCATGAGGATGATTCCGAAGCAGTTTCACACGTTTTGAATGAAACCTCTGAGAGGGATGATGGGTCGGTGTTGTGAGCTGCAGACTGGAGGGGCGTGAGAAGGGCATGACCCGACAAAGGTGCTTTCTTCTGTCCTGGAGAAACAGCTCCTGCCAGGGCTGCAGACATTAGTTTGTGTCCACTCGTTATCTGTGTCCTTTTAATTAGCAAAGAGGGACACAGATGTTTTCCAGGAACTGCAATAAGAGCACCAGTTCATGTCTCAGAAGGACCTGAAGTCATGCCCAGCACGAGCCATTTCTTCTGACCCATTGCCCCTGAATGAGAAGTGCTGTGGTGCCTGGTTTGGGGATTGAATAGTGATGCTCTGCTGCTCCTCATTTCTCCGCCTTTTCCACCAAGGCTGTGAAAGCCACCATGAAGCGAGCCTGCAAGTGCCACGGGGTGTCGGGCAGCTGCAGCATCCAGACCTGCTGGCTCCAGCTCGCTGAGTTTCGCGAGATTGGCAACTACCTAAAGATCAAATACGACCAAGCCCACAAGCTGGAGATGGACAAGAGGCGGATGAGAGCCGGCAACAGCGCCGACAGCCGCGGGGCCACGGCAGAGACCTTCCACCACGTCCACGCCACGGAGCTGGTTTTCCTGGAGGACTCTCCCGACTATTGCACGAGGAACGCCAGCCTGGGTCACCACGGCACCGAGGGTCGCGAGTGCCTGCAGACGGGCAAGAACCTCTCGCAGTGGGAGAAGAGGAGCTGCCGGCGGCTGTGCACCGAGTGTGGTCTGCGGGTGGAGGAGAGGAGGACGGAGGTGGTGGCCAGCTGCAACTGCAAGTTCCACTGGTGCTGCACAGTGCGGTGCGAGCAGTGCCGGCAGCTGGTGGTGAGCCCCCCCCCGCCGCCCCCAACCACATCAAGCGGAGGAACAAGGGACATAAGAGATAGAGCGTAGCCGTGGCCCCCAAGGAGAACACTTTGGGGTCCCTGTGCTTGGTGGCTTCCGGCGGAGCTGGGTTGGGATGGAGCATCCCCAGGTCCGGTGAAGCTGAGCGGAGCATCGTGCCAAGCGATGGGGCTCCGGAGGATGGATGCTGTGAGATTCGGAAGCACGAGGCGCAGGCGCTGAGGGACCACGGTCCTTGCTTCCATGTTTTTTCTTCAATATTTACCAGTAGCTTCTTTCTTTTCAGGAGTCACTTTATTTGTGTATTGGACAGAGGGAAGAATTCCACTTTTTTGGTGGACTCAACCCCTTGGGCCACATCCAGCGGGTCAGCCAAGGCCAGCGGTGGGGCTCCAGCTCCATGGCAAGTGGGGTGGGGATGGGCACTGTGGCCAAAAGTGGGTCCCAGCCAGGGTGGCTCTGTCCCCCACAACGGGGACAGCCCCAGCCCCGCGGCTGATGCACGGCAGCATTTCTAGAGGAAAACTTTATGCACTTTCTGATGTGAGAGGGGGTTTTGCAGCCTCATGGTGTGTCTTACGACGACTGCAGCCTTTCGAGGGCTTTGATAGGTTTCAAGTCAGTGTTTACAGATTCCACATCTTCCCCCTCCTCCTTTTTTTTTTCTTCTCTCCTTTTTATATTTTGTATATTGGTACCAAAACCCTTGCCCCAAATGGACATGTACTTGTACTGGATGAAATTAAGCTGTTTACATTTCCTATACTTTTTTTTAAATTAGCAGATAAGAATTCAGAATTCTTTATGCCTAATGTTGTTTATTAATAAGTTGTATTATTGCTTAGCACAATCTGTTTTCTCTCTATAATTTTGAAAACATCCCTAAAGAGTTAGATTTTTTGGACTGTATTTTGCAATAAATACCACAATGAAAAGGATTGGCTTCTTCCTTTCTGGCTCCCCAGGTGCAAAACTGTCCCTTTCTGTGTAAAACCCAGCACTTCCAGGGTGTCTCATCATTAATCCAAAAGCCACTGAGAAGGTTGCTCTCCTAGATCTCAGCAAAATGGGCTCCAGCCTTCAATCCCCAGAGGGTTTGCTTTAATACCCATCACTGTAATATCTAACCTTTTCCAAGTGCTGAGTACACAGGCACTGCCCGGCTAAAGCGAATTTGGAAGCTCCCGATGCCTCTTTAACTTGCCCACAGCCCACGTCCCCCAGACAACGCGAGGCTGCCCCGCTTTGATGTGGAAAGCGCCGGCACTTGCTGCAGAATTCTTGGAGGCAGGAGAGGAGCCCTTTGAACTGGGGACAGGAGAGAAATCTCGGGAACAGTTGTGAATGTGTCTGCGGGTTCCCTGCTGCTCCGGGTGCCACAGCAGGGCAGGCAGGAGGGGACACAGCCAGGAGGGCAGGAGGGGACACGCTCCGGCTGCTGCCATCCCAAGCAGGTCCTGCTCTTCTCCAGGGCTGTGCTCCAGCCCAGATCACTCCTAGGAGTCCCAGCACTGCTCCAAAGGGACCATCGGGAACAGTTGTGAATGTGTCTGCGGGTTCCCTGCTGCTCCGGGTGCCACAGCAGGGCAGGCAGGAGGGGACACAGCCAGGAGGGCAGGAGGGGACACGCTCCGGCTGCTGCCATCCCAAGCAGGTCCTGCTCTTCTCCAGGGCTGTGCTCCAGCCCAGATCACTCCTAGGAGTCCCAGCACTGCTCCAAAGGGACCAGGGATGGGCCGCCACCCGCACCCGTGATGTGGGGACAAAGGATGCTCTGCCAGGTTTGCTTTGCAGCCAGGGGAGAAGGAGGAGAGACAACTGGGAAAAAACCCAAACCCCACAGCTCTGCCAGCATATTGCACCCACACTACGAATGCTTTGATGCCATTGTAGCTGGGTATCCCGTGGCTCCTAGTGCAAACACACACTCGAGCTGAATCAGGAAGCCCAAGGTGTAAAACACACGGGTTGGGAAGCACAGCTGACCTCCACGCGTTTCTTTTTGCAAAGGGCGGTTTGGCTAAAGCTGCACCAGTGGGCTGCCCATTTGGGGGGCTCGTTTGCTGCCTTTGGAGGAACTATTCCTAAGATTTCCATAACTAACAGGCCACACCACCAAAGCAAAAAAACCCAAGATTTTTGCACAGTGTTGCTACAACAGCATTTACAACCCACCAAAACTGAAGCGGAACTGGAAATGATAAAAACAGACAAACAAACCCCCTTTCCTGCGTCCTGTGTCTGACTTGTCTGCACAGAAACACAGCAACACTTTTGCAATATCTGCTCTGGGTGCCTGGACTGCTCCTGCCCCAAGCCAGCCCCCAGCAGCACCAGGAGCAGCCCCAGGAGCTGCGAGCACAGGGTGCTGCCAAAACCCCACCGAGCCGTGAGGCAAAATCACACAGAGCACAGAACAGTTGCTGCTGATGTGTGCTCAAAGACGGGAAACAGGATTTCACCAGGATAACCCCAACCACACATGAAAACCACCTTGGTGTATACCAGTAGCAGGGTTAATGAGCTGCACAGGTCAATCCCGGGAGATGAGGGCTCCCCGTGAGCAGGTATGCTCAGGACATGCTGTGTTTTGTTACACATCTCTCTGCAGCACCTTTTCAAACTGGCAGCAAATAAAAAAAGACAGGTTTGCAGGTGGCCATAGCCTCAGTCCAGCCATCTGCCCCATGCAGACCCTGTCCCAGGGAACGGGGATGCGGCGAGGAGCAGAGATGCTGCACCAGGGACTGATCCTTCTCCCACTGAACCCTCCCATTCCCACCCCCTGCAGCCAGGGGCTCGCCGAGCCAGCGCTCGTACACACTGCATTGCATTTAAATGCTGGAGATGAACTGTTTGTTCTTCCTTGAATTTGTCTAATTGCTTTTTAAAAATCCATTTACATTTCTGGCACCCAGACAATCTAAGGCAACAAGCATATCTTATGCAAAAGCCAGAGACCAAATGCAAATTGAAGCGAACTGAAGAGAAAGTTACGTACCATCCCATGATACAAATTTCCATTCCCTTTTTAGAGCTCACTGAGATAATACCGAGTCTGAACAAATACAAAAGACAACTTTAAGGCTTAGAGCTGCACCTTGCCAGAGATATTACAGTCCTGGAGAAGCTGAAGCTCTCTCATCCTCCCTCTTGTTGCTTGGATACAACAGTCATCAATTCTCACTACATTCACTACAAAACAATAGAAATTCAGGATCATCTTAATCCATCTCAGCGCTGTCAGGGAACCCCTACAGCCCTCTCCCCTGGTACCACTGTCAGTGAAAACACACAGAGATGCCATGGGCACGGGGTGGCACGGGGTAATAAACCCTGAGGCTGCCTGCAGGACACCATCCCTCAGGCTGCTTCCATCCTTTCAGGGGTGATTTTACCTGGGCAGCAAACTCCTGCACAGCAATTTTCAACATAAATACCAACACACAGTGGAGCAAAGTCCTGTCCTCTGCTGGTTTGCAAAGGCTCCTTCTCTAGCTGCAGCTGAAGAGCATCTGAAGGGAGGGATGATGCCTTCACACCTGAATGTATTTACTCATCGTTACCCAAAGTCAGCTCCAGTGTGGGACACTGATCCCAGACACCTGCAGCTTACTGCCTGCTCAGAGGAAGGGACGGACTGGCTCTGTAAACCCTTGAGAAGGAACCTGACTGCTATCCTGCATTGATAGCAATGATCCTAATTACAATGAAAAAGTAAAAATCTCAGTCTGGGCCAGCTGCTGCAGATGTTGTATGATCTCCAACCCAAACCCTGCTGCCTGCCCCCAAAGAGCTGCCGGCACTGCTGGGGAACGGGAATCACAGAATCACAGACTGGTTTGGGGTGGAAGGGACCTTAAAGATCATCCAGTCCCCCCCCCTGCCATGGGCAGGGACACCTCCCACCAGCCCAGGTTGCTCAAAGCCTCATCCAGCCTGGCCTTGAACCCCTCCAGGGATGGGGCATCCACAGCTTCTCTGGGCAGCCTGGGCCACTGCCTCACCACCCTCAGGAAAAAACCTCCTCCTAATATCTAATCTAAATGTCCACTCTTTCAGCTTAAAACCATTACCCCTCGTCCTATCCCTCCACCCCTGCTCAGGAGCCCCCTGCAGCCCCTTTAAGCACTCGGAGGCTGCTCTAAGGTCTCCCCAGAGCCTTCTCTTCTCCAGGTTGAACAACCCCAACTCTCTCAGCCTGTCCTCATATGGGAGGTAGTCCAGCCCTCTGACCATCTCTGTGGCCTCCTCTGGACCCGCTCCAACACATCCATGTCCTTCCTGCGCTGAGGAGCCCAGAGATGGACGCAGGAAGGGATGCGGGAGATGCCCTGGATGATCTTCAAGGTCCCTTCCAACCCAAACCATTCTATGATCGAGTTTATTTAATTCACACAGTGCAGGCTCCGCAGATGGCCTTTGCAAAGCACTTTGGAGGTGGCAGGATTTTGGCCCAGCACTGCTCCTTCCCACCCCGCTCCCACCCCAGCCGGGGGCTGCTCTGTCCCCCAACACCCCACAGCAGCCCCCGAGTACGGCTGCATCCCACCGTCAGCCCTCTTTTCCCCCAGCCCACTTCGCTTCAGCTGTTAAACTCCTTGCCGGATGGATTACCTTTAATTTATGCCTCCAGTGCCCTTTCATGGATTATAATTCTGTATGAGATGTTTGTGCTGTATCCTTCCCCCGTATTAAAGTGTCAGTATAGCCCCAGGCCATCCATCTTCAACGCTTCCGCATGGGCTTGGCAATTCTCTGACATGAATATTATGGCTCTCAAGGCAGAGTCTCCATCACTCAAGCTGACAAGTGTTAGAATCTCTTCTCTTGAACAGGGTAAGTGACCTTTTCATATGCAGCATAGATTCCCGGTCACGCTGCATCTGGTGCAGTGAAACCACTGAGTGCCGGCAATTCCCTCAAGTCTTAAAAAACAAGTCACAGGTCCTTTTCGACTTGCAAAACCAACCCTTAGC